CGGTTACTTTGGTGCTAGAAGTTGTGGCATACATCAAAGTGGTACAAAAACTTGGCTTTGAGGTGCAAATACAGTGCTTATCTCATTTTTGCATACGGAACATGGGGCCCGCTGTCAGCCACTGGACCAGGGGAAGGGGGTGTGTGACTTGTTTTTTCTAAAAACACCCTTGATATATATATATATATATATATATATATATATATATATATATATATATATATATATATATATATATATTCACAAAAACACCTCTTGGCGTGGGAGAGGTGCCATTTTCTTCACCTCTATGAAGGGTGGGTTCTGCCTGTCAGGTGGGAGTGAAAATTAAACAAAACATGCGGATTCTAAGTCTCGAACAAACAACATAGACGTTAGTAGCAAGCCCGAGTAAATTATGTGTAAATTATGTGTAAACAAGTCCGCATGTTGACATAATTTACACATAATTTACACATAATTTACACATAATTTTTTTACACATGTTAACTACATAATTTACACATGTTAACTACATTTTTTTACACATGTCAACATGGAAAAGAATTAATCAATAAAAAAATAACAGGAAAAGAATTAATCAACAAAAAAATGTAGTTAACATGGAAAAGAATTTGCACACAATTTACACATAAATTGCAGTTTTTAGTTATGTAAGAATAAACATATAATAATGAATTTTACATAAAAATAAAGTTTGAAACAAGGAACGAATTAGTGGCATTGGTATCGTCCTGAAAAACAGGCAATGAATTTAAAAATAAACATTATAAAACGAATAAAAGAGAGAGTAAATTAGTGACATTGATATTACTCTTAAGAATAAAGAAATACAACTTTCAGACAACTTTGCAGTGGAATTTTTTATGATATGCATTGAATACACATATAATAATGCAACTTTAGCAGTCCAGTATTATTTACACAAAAATTGTATAGTACTTTCATGCATAATAATAATAATAATAATAATAATAATAATAATAATAATAATAATAATAATAATAATAATAATAATAATAATAATAATATATTTAATTAGAAAAATTAGCACAGAAGAATTAGCATTGTTATTACCCTTACAAAATAAAGAAAATAAAAAAAGCAAATTTTCCACACAATTAGCACAAAAAATTGCACTTTTGATAATCTGTAGAATAAATATATAAGAGTGATGTTTCCGTACTCTAATGTAATTTGTACATGTATTACTTCCATGTATATATTTACTCAACGTCTAGGAATACACGTAAAGAAAAAAAACTTAACTGAAAAATAGAAAAATAAAAGCGTACACGTGCAGAAAACAAAAACAACCCATAAAAAAATGCACACACCAAAATCCAGCCCAAAAAGAAAATCTACTGATCCAAAATAGGATTCAGTCGAATCCAAACAGCCCGGTATACCAGCATAACGTGATAGAAAAAAAAGGAAAAACTACACACATCCTAAAGCACATACGGCCAGAAAATCGACTGAAATCTAGCTAAAGTGTCGAATATCCAATTCCGAGCTCGGACTCATCTGCACCCGCTCACGAAAAAAAACATAAAAATTCAAAAAAAACATTTTTTGGTGAAAGGTAGAAAATTTGGTGCGTGAGGTGCGCTCCAAATTTCAAAGCATTTGGACATTTGAGTAGCTCTCAGCAAAAAAGACAAATTGAGTCAGGATATTATATGAGCAGTACACTATTTAATGGAACCTAAATTTGTTTTGTTTGTCGAGAGCTACTCAAATGTCCAAATAATTTGAAATTTGGAGCGGACATCACACACCAAATTATCTACCATGCCAATTTTTTTTGGAATTTATTGAATGTTTTTACTATTTGTTTTGATTTTTTTATTGAACGCAGATGCAGATGATCCTAGGAGCCAAAACAGCCTCACTCCTAAAGTGTACAAATATAACAATGGGCGTGATGTTTTGGCTCTGGGATAGTAATCACAATGAAAATAGTTTAGAATGAAACAGAACTGATTTTTGTTTTTCTAAAAACAGTAATTCTTCGTAAGTAAAAACTTCAATCGCACTGCAGCTTCATTTTTTTGTTGGTCTAGAAGGATAGTTTTCGATAATTCATCCTGAAGCCCGGGCTCAGCTGCTCCAGGTCAGCAAAAAATTCAAAACAAATATTAGAAAAATTCAAAAAATTCCAATTTTTTTGTGTGTGGTAGATAATTAGATGCGTGAGGTTCGCTGCAAAAATCAACTCGTTTGGACATTTGTGTAGGTCTCGG